GCTATATATAAAATAAATATTTGTGAACAAAAAATACGCAAATTTTACAACTACAGTTTGAATTATAAATTAAATAGGAAAATCCGTCGACAATGTGTCAAAAGCCAGTAGCAATCGAGTGCCAGACCACAGCCGGTCAACCATATACATCAACCGATGATACTGTTTCTTGCTGCCCATCGGCTGGTCTCGTATGTAAGCAGGCTGAGAATGGAAATTCCTGCGCTGATTATAGAGTTCGTTTCTTATGTCCAGGTTAGTGTATTTTATCCCCTCAGTGTACGTTCTTTGAACTCTAAACCACACTAACATTCTTGGATTACACAGCCGGGCACTCACTGCCTAGTTTCAACCGTCTTGCGACGAATCCAACTCCGCTCCCTGTAAACGCATAAGACAAAGGCTTTTTGTCGGTGAGGCAGCGAATGAAATGTACTTGATCTGGACATAGAGGTATTACTTGATGAGACCTCCATGGTCTGAACGAATCGTCATTAAAACGATCCGTTGCGTGCGAGTCGTGCCGCCACGCATTTATAGATTTGGCTCGGTTGACGATCGTCTTGCGCAGTCAGTCCCCGGCCTTAAACATTTGGCAATTACCTTGCTCATTACAGGAGCATACACATTTTATTAAGAATAAAAATTCTTTACAAACGTGTCTCTGTCATATTTTGCTGTAAAAATTATGGGTAAATATTTAAAAAATACAATATTTCTATGTTCAAATGGAAAATTTTATGTTACTTTAAAAGGATTTTTATGATTTTTTTAGTATTGATGATTTTATTTGTCATATCTACAAGATGCACGTGCAATGAAATTTGCTTTGGTTCCTTATTTAAAGAGATAAATAAAAAAAATACATACTTTTATAAGCATGTGTAAATAAAATAATATTACTCTCGTATAATAACACCCAAACTTAATACTGTTATTCTATTATTTTAGTTATATTTATTATTTATTACGCAATATTATTGTTGTTATTTTGTATTCCTAATGTAGATAAATGGACTCAGTGGTTTGATCGAGATAACCCATCAGGTACTGGTGACTGGGAGAACGTGCCGAATTTATATTCCGTAAGTTTAAATCCGCAATTAAAACGCATATGTATGGTGCCACTCTTGTTATCGTTTCTGGTTTTATGGATGCGCATAACAATGTCATAATTGTGGAACTGCCAACATCATTGGAAGTATGTAATTTATCTACTGAATCACACAGACAATAGGTTCTGTACCTTCTTACACAGACTAACCAAAGATGTATTAGTCTTTGAACTTGTATTCTCCAAACCATGTGTGCAAAGAAGAAACGTATTTAACTTGCTTAAGGAAACAAGCGAACATCTTTACTGCAATTGTTAACGATAGGATTTTAAATGTGATTTAAATGGCTTACCGATGACAGAGGTGTGTTTATGGTGCTTTCTTCATCAAACACATACGTCTATTATTCATCTTGCTTACTTACGGAACTGGTCACGTTGTTAAAACTCTAATACAGGTCTCCTCCAATTAGAGACCACATTTGGAACCGGGGATTCCATGGTCTTTCCTCGCTCTCTAATTAGCATACGAAACATAAGAGAAATTTGTTAACACAAAAAAATGTGTGTTTAATTCGAGGTGGTCTTTAATTGGAGGGGTCTTTAATACGAGGGGGACCTGTATTTAACTCCGTGTTTGCCAATATATTCAGGCTTTTTCAATAAATGTTTTACTTTTCTTTCCAACTAACTTCATTTCCTTGTTTAGGAAAACCCGAATACAATGTGTGAAAAACCGTCAGGAATTGAGTGCCGGACTACAGGCGGTAATTCCTACAGATCTACTGGTCAGACGCTCACCTGCTGCGCTAAAGAAGGCCTAATCTGTAAGAACGCAGACAATACTGGTTTATGTAGCGACTACAAAGTTCGGTTCTTATGTCCAGGTTAGCCTCATAAAAATACTTATTTGTACTTGCATTTTTTCAAAAGTGGCACACCTTATTTTACAAAGGTGCGCCCGTAAATAAAATCCTACAGTAGACACATTACAAGCCAAAGTATATAATGTCATAATAGTATAAACAATTACGACTCAAAACAAAACTCCCGCTCGCCATCCGTGAACAATTCTAATGTTAAAACACATCAGTGTTTCCAAAAAAAAAAAAAACAAAAAAAAAAAAAAAAAATACTGAAGAATACCTTTTCCCTTTCTTACCCTTAAAAATCAATTTTTCCTACCCCCCAATAAACTATACACAACTTCAACCAGGAAGTTCCCTTAGGCTGGTCCTAAGCCCGCAACGATTGGAGCTGTATTGTTTCGACGGGAAAGGTGATTTTGCCGATAGGAGCATACGTTGACATGGCAACGGGTAGCTCAGAAACTCTCGAGGGGTCCAGGAGACGAATCTCCGAAAAATCTGAAAATTTAGGGATTTGAAAAGCATACTTTTCTCGATTTTAGAGAATTCTGTATAATTTACATTTTTTCCTCTCCCCGACGAATTTTGCTTTTTTTTCTCTCTGATTTGTGAATGGGGGGAAATCTCCATGACAGAGGGCAGAGGAACTACTGGTGCCACCACTGATATACAGTATGGTACAACAATAATACAATGTACTGTGTAAACTGTCCAAATCAACATCAGACTGATACTTAGTCGTCTTTTCTCTTTTCACAGATTTGTAATATGAATGCTGTTACGCAATATCTGGAAGTTTGAAAACATGGACATTGATAATATTGTTGTAGCCTATCGATATTCAAGCAACTACGATTCATCAGATACATAGAAAAAAGTTAAAAGATGTCGTCATAATACGTTTGGCAGTTCTGTACAATACACCGCATAAATATAATAGGTCTAAACTGCGTGTTATCTCCTTTTTTCTCATTTTTCTATAAAGATAATTAACAAAACAGCTTAATTATTTTATTTATTTATTTATTTTTTGCATTTCTTGATCAAAATTTTCTACGAATTATATCTAAAGAGAAATATTCGTTTAATTACTTTAATAAATCATATTGTGGCACTTTGGAAGTATTTTATTGTTTTGATTTCAACGTATTTTACTTGTGTTCATCAACAACATACATTACAACGTTGTCATTCATAACGAAATGAAAATCGAATTATACGATCACACTGATTGTGCTTCTTTTTGTTTATCTGAGGTTGCCAAACCACCATTTCCACAACCCTTTTCTTTCCGAAACAAACACTTAACTTAAGCAAGATCTTAAATTATATGACCCTTCTTTTAGAGCAGCTCATCTTCAAAATATAACTGTTAGATGTCTATTATTACTTGTTACAGTCAAAGCCAAGTGGCGAACACTAGGTTATTTAGGGATTTTTTGAAGCGTTATTGCATAATACATAACAATTAAAAGAAACGTTATCAAGTAGAAAATACAATCTTTTAACTAGTGATACAATTATCAGTAAAGTAGATTAGGTAATATGTCAAAGAACAAGTTCTCGTAATCTCAAAAGCTCCGATGAAGGCAGTAAAGTATATTAAAACATGCTTAAATCATGGAGGAAATATCCTTCATGCTTAAATAGGCCTACTGTACAAAGTGGCGTAAGATTTTAATAAAATATTGGGTTTTCGGCACGGGTTCATAATTGCCATTAATTGCTACCACTAACAGGACTCGTAAACATTGCACGGTCGGTTAACGCTGTGTTGAACTGAATATCGTGAGTTCGAATCGCGTCTCAATGTTTATGTTAGTATTGTCTCCGAGCATTTCTAAACATTTATATCCTTCAGATATTTATATACTTATGAACCTCTGGCGAAATCCAGGGTGTGACATTTTTACGTGAACGACAAATTGGAATACTATCATTGACACATACGGATAAGTGTTCTGAAATTTATTCTATTGCCACTTATTTTGTTACAGTATAAATCGTAAAATGCTTGTGTGGACATTATAAACCAAATGATTGGCTTGCAATTGTTCTTTATTTGAAATCTAACTGCTTTTGTTTTACCAACTGTGTTTCTGTATAATAATGATTTCCTTGGGCCATGTTACCAATTGAATCTGATTTAAGCCCTATCAGACTATCAAATTTTTTTGACAAAAAAAACATGTGACATGATTAAATATTGACATACAACATTTTTTTTTTTGGCCAAAGAAAATGTTATAGTATAGGCAGAGCTTCAAGTACACAACTTGCACAAGATGTATTTTGTTTTAATGAAATCAAATTTATAAGATAATGTCCTGTTAAAAATAGCAGATGTTACCAGTGTATTAGGCACCAAATTCAAGAGTTTCAGTATCTTCCGATATTTTGGTCTGCTATAATATCATGCAACGATATGAAACAATTTTGTTGAGGTATTCTAGCACAAACTTGTAACTCAAAAACTGCATATACCACGTTCCGTCAATTTTAATTCCACTGGGAAATAACAAATGTCAAACTCACACAATTGTATTGTATATGCACTAATAACACATCACACGACATACGTCCCAGCCACACAAACTAACAATGAACTGATGATAGATTAATGCTATAAACGTTCCTAAAATTTAATATATATATAACACAAAATAATAGTTTTAAGAAAACCACTTGCTGGTAATTCATGGACAGAGGATTTCTCTGTTAAATGTGGCAGATTATTCCCATCGGTGGTTAATTTTACAAAAAGAGATCGTCCTATTGACATTGGTGGAGAAATTTTTCCAAGGGTTTGAAATTCTGTAACAGGATTGCGAATTATCAAGGATTGGTAAGGACGTTCAGCAAGAGGTTACCCATATCCCCACATTTTTTAAGGGTAATTTTTTCACATGGATGGGGAATTTTTCCAGCAAGAAAATCCACTCCACGGGAAATCCCCTTCAATTCCCCTTTTGACAAAAAACTTTGAGTGATTCAAACTCCTTCCATAAATTCCATTCCTTGAAGAAAATATTCACCACTGGTGGAAATCACCTACTCGGACCAAAAAATTACTAACCATTTTCAAGCTTAAGAAGTATTAAATTTATAGGCTAACCTTTCAGGTTCGGACGTTACGGTAGTTGAGACAATGTATATAGTATGTCTAGTATCTAAACTTTTGATATTTATTAGTTCAAAGTCAAAGTAGATTGATTGCAAATGTGTTAAAGGTTAGTCAGTCGGCTAAACTAGTGCATAATTCCAGTGTGTGCCCGCTGAACCGTTGAAATTTTCACAATAACATTAATTTCGGTTCAATTCCTTCTCTGCTCCTTGTGGTTCGGTTATTGGACTGGAATACAAGTATAAAATATAGCATACAGTTTTTCGGAGGATACGTTTAAAGCCGAGCACTAACTGCGTTGGACGACCGTCGGCTGACCAATCCAACTTTACTCCCTGTGAACGTTAAACCACGCGACGCCGTTTTGCTGATTGTTGGTGACAGTCATTAAAAACGATGCGTTGAGCGCACGTCGTTGGTATGTGTACGTTAAATAGAGTACAATCTAGCAGTGAGGTGTTTTTTAGGAGTACTGCCCAATACTCACCTAATAGAGAACGTCTTTGGACTTTAGTGGAATAGCCTTGATGTGTACCTGATTTTAGAAAATATCTTAAGACAAAAGTTTATGAGTCTAAGCCTACCGAATTATTTAGTATTCTCTTTTAGCTTAATGATTTTGAAAAATATTTTTGGCGCACGTGTAAAATCGACTTAATGCAGATTCTAGAATACAGCAGACTTATAACTTGCCAAGGTATATTTCTTTTCACACATCATCTGCAATAATTTAGACATATATATTCATAAGTATTCATTAGTGAAATTTGAGTCATTGAAAATCATCCAAGAAACACATTGGATTTATCGGCAATGATCTGTTACAGTGATGCATTGTAACTATATCTATTCAATGGACTTTTCATGAGTGTCAGTCAAGTTAACAACTGACCAATCAGAAGAGAGCTAGGAATACGTGTGTATCTCATAAGCACTAACGTTGTCCCACAAATGCACAGTTTTGCGTAATTTTATACACTCGTTTTGTGGACCTTTGCAAAAATAGCAAAGGGAATAGCCAAAGCGGAAAAGTCTATCTATTGGTAGGCTTATTAACATTTTGTTCACATGACGTTTCAAATTATCTCCGTAGACTTACTTGGCCAGCCCTTGTAATGTAGGCGTATCTGCGTTTATTGTGTAGAAGTACATTATCATAAAATCAGTAGCACAAGGATTAATTAATGAGGATAGTACAATGCTTTTTGGTAACAACTAAAACGTAAAGTGACAATATAATTATAAATTCAAAAAAACAATATCACTGCAGTCATTAAAAGTAATTGCTTCCAACTATTCAGTTTTAAAAGCACACTACCAAATAAAATAAAATGCTTGTGAACTACCATACTGTGATACCACAGTACGTTATCGGTTTGGTTAATAATGCAAATTATTATAGCGCCAATTCCAAATTGAATTATCAAAGGCGCTGAAAGTTATTACCCCTTGTCACAGGATAATATACTATGGCAAACCAGCACAAAGTGCTACCTTCTCTGCTCCTGAGTACTATACCTATAGTCCGCTTGTATTCAGCGCACGAAACTAATATAAGTGACTTGCGCAGCGATAATTCCGAACCCCTGACCTCATGGTTTGGAGACCAAGCCACAACATATGCGCCAACCTACTCCGCCCCGTTATAGATATGTCCGAGGGTCCAAAGCAGTGGTGGGGTGAAAGATGGGACAAGGAGGGGTGTGGACGATGTCCCCGACGATAGCGAAGTAGGCGGAAAGTAATTCCGGACAGCTCTAAAGCCGGCTACTGACTAGTAACTGCCAGCGGTCGTTGATCGACAAGTAATGGCTCTAATGAAGAGGAAGTTTATCCCCTCGTCGGTAGTGGCGGTCCAGTGGGGACCCATGTCCCCCCCCCGCTGATGCCACCACTGCTCGTCGGGGAAGCCTATCTCCCCCAGCCCCTGTCGTTGAAAGGGTAAAGTTTGTCTAGAATAAAAAGAATGTAGAATTCAGGGCAACTATTATCTTCTTAATTGAGCAGTTTGTGTTTCTTTCATCAATTATAAAATTGCCATTTTATTGTAAGTTATTTTAGATGAGTTTGTATCTATGCAACAACTTCCGCTACAAATAATTGCGCCACAACCCTCATCTGCTAAGACATTTCCTAATAAAAACACTAACTAATGGATTTGACGTATGAAATGTCTTTGAGTTCCCAATATAATAGATAATGAAACAGAAAGCGGTGTTATTTATGTGCTGACGTCCAATAAGCTTAGTTTCACTCTAGTAATTTGATTCAAAACGTATTGATTTAGGACTACCATTAGGAAGTTGTTTAGACATCAAAAAAGTGGCCTGAACATAATCATAAACTTCAAAATGTGTGTGAGATTTGTTTCCGTTTCTTCACTTTTAGTCAGTAAAAAAACAATCACTGTAGTTTAAAAAAAATAAAATTGAATGGATAGGAGTACATTTAGGTATAAATAGGTATGTATAGGTTGTTATTTTTTTCTTCTATACGTTATATTTCAGTAATCCTGAGTTAATTCATTGTAAACGTAATGTGTTTTTAAAATTTGTACAGCGCTATTTTTGTCATATTTTCTCCTCACAAATCTCTCAAATTGGTCATCTAATCATCTAGAATGTCTGAGCTCCGGGACTTTTCCCTGTCCGCCAGCCTTAAGGCCTGTTTATACATGCAACGATAACGATAAAACGCTAAAAAGCAATTGTATGAATAGAAAATATAAGAATAGCCTAGGAGAATTTTTGACACTATGACGATCTATAACCATTTATCCTGTATACGATAACAAAATGTTTTCACAATTCAAATCAAATCCTTTTTACTACTACATTTTTATCGTTTATCCATGATTATGACATCAATTGATTTGCTTTGTTTAGCAAATCATAATAATTTATAATTTATCGTGACGTCATCAGCAGAATCGAGTGAACGTAACATCAGATATCTTAAAATTGTGGCACCACTACTTACATAAATTGAAATAGATAGACCTAAAAGTATCCATGTCATCGGATGCATATTGTTTAATAATGGTTGTACAAAACTCAATTGACTAATTAGAATTTAAATACATTTAGGTTTGGCTAATAATAGTTTTGATATTAGGAAAAACAGAAATCTATATATTTTTATGCAGATAAAAAATTATACTGGTCTTAATAATGGAAAAAAGTGGAATAAACCGTTTATTGTAGAAATCATGCACTTTAGAGTTTCTAAAAACCTAATACGTTTTCATCCTTCCAAAAATGTTAACGCCAAGTGTACATTTTTTCACAACAAATCGAACCTCTGATAACCATTGCACCCAAAAAATCAAAGGGATTACTGAGATACAGATTGCGCAGAAAATGGTATTTTTACCCGGTTTTCGTCCGGATATGCACACCGCACACTTAACAAAACAAAAGTGGACAGATGAATATATGACAGTCATTCGTAATTGTTGTTGTTCTTACCATTCTTTTTGAAAAATGGGGTTTTAACTATTGAAGATTGGTGGAAAGTTGGCAGGGCAGGGAGGACCTATTGATGTGATGTCCCACTAACTTTGAAATGTGTGTGTGTGGGGGGTGGGGGAGTGTCCACCCTGTCCCCCACCGATTGGCGCACATCGATTAACCGTCCGGACACCTGCACTAATTTGGAAGAAATAATCATAGCACCGTCCTTATAGACGTTTAAATGTAAAGGACAACACGTTATTTAGTTTACGTTAGTACAGTACAGTGGCAGTAGAAATGTTCAGTCCAGACACCTGCACTAAACTGGAAGAAATATATCGTAGCACCATCCATTTAGACATCTGAATATTGAGGACATTTCATTATTCATATTACGTCAGTACAGTACAGAGGCAGTAGAAATATTCAGTAGAGGGAAAGTGCACTCACCACTTCAGTGAGTGCCACTGGTATTAAAAATATATATAATAACTTTAATAGAATACCGACTTTAATAGAATACCGGTATATTATAACTTGATAATAGAAATATTATAATAAAGTGATCATTGCCAATCCCAAAATGTTAACCCTCCAAACATATGACAATTAAAGGGTTCTTTTCAATTGCAAAAGTCTTTTAGAAATTATATGTATAATTAAGATCTTAGGTTTGAATATGTTCTTGTATATATAGCATAACATTTGGCCTAGTGGGCTTACATAGATTGATTATCAAATATTATGGGGCTGAGGTTAGTAAATTTTGAAAACATGGCACCTGTAAATGCCTGAAAACAGCAGTTGGCAACCTACAGAACCGCTACCCATATTCAAAGCTTTACGAGTAGATGAAACATTTTCAATTACAATGGGGGACTAGATACCACACCAACCTGTGCTTCACCATGGTTGGGTCTGAGGGGGTGGGGGAGATAATGCTCCTCTAGTTCCAATCTGGTTAAAGTTTAAAAATCACATTAACTACTAAATTAATGATTGTTTTCAATTAATTTATAACACGGCCTTAAAATTCACATAGTATAATATAAAAACACGCACATGTTGGGTATTTATTTAAATATAACATTCAAATGACATTGTGGTGCAAATTTTATTAATAAATTTATATGATTTGTAGGTGGTAAATATTTTTTAAAGTAATAAATATATGAGAAGAAGTGGTCTGGCCAAAGCAGGTGCGGCCAGTTCGATCCCGACGGCTCTGCAAAAATTGGAAATGGACACTATGTTTTGACAAAAGCGTAACTTATAAACTATATGTGCTACGTTTCGATTAAGATTTATGTATACTTGAAAATGTTTTGCCGATAGAATGGCTCATTTATAATTAATAAAATTTACTAGAATATTTTCTTAATACGTAATAAATTTCTAAACGTATTGTACACCTGACGCTATAGTTAACAACTAAATTCAAACACATAACCACGTGTAGTATACAACTTAAAATAATAAGAGCAGACAGTCACTTTTCCACGGGAAAATGTCAAATGTCGAACTTCTGTGGGTGGAGATAGCTAATAAAACTTAAAGGTATATATTTTTTGCCCATAGGATACAAAAATTGGTTTTATCGGTAAGTGAATAAATGAATTTATATTAAGTACCGTATTTAATGGCTTTTAAAATCTATCGGTGTTCAGCAGCTAATAAATTTCAAATATTATCTAAAATAATTAAAAGAGTTTGCACACTTTCTACTTTACGAGACCTCGAACAGCTGATTTTATATTGGCATCATATATTTTGTTTAATTAATATAGTTACTACAACAAAACTTTTAAATAATTAATATGTTTAATACCTGTATAATTATTCTAGTTACTGCCTATATATATGTGTATATTTCTGAAAGTTGATATTGCAGTTAATTGATGTTCAACTTGCTAGTGTCTCTTGTCAAATTCCGAGTGAAGATTTCTTAACTGGCTAATTTAACAAGGTATGTCTATATTTATATAAGGGGCATTGACAAATCATTATGTAAGACTGTGGGATGTTAGTCTGTTCGCATTTCATCTTATGTGTACTATTTTTTTTTTATGGCTTGGTCTTTGTTGCCATTAAATGAACGCTAGGCTATAGGGCAAAGTAATGGTTGTGTCTGATATACTCTTGAGAATACTGTTTTGAGAATATAAGATATACGGTATTGATGTGTTACATCACTAAAATTACACTTTTCGTGGGGTGCAGGATAAGCCTAGACATTAGTGCAGACATTAGGTTGAAATATATACGATACCTAGAAAAGGTAAAACACATAACAAATCTAGCAAAGAAAAAATAGATAAGAGTAGATTGATGCGATTGAAATTAATTTTAAAGAGTTAAATATTCTTAAAAAAAACATTTTTGGCAATGAATGAATTTTCTACTCCATTAAAATGAATGGAGTAGAAAAAAAAGTATTTTAAATATTGGTGATAAAAAAAGTGAGAAAGTGCTGAAATTCGACTACAATGTCTGAGTAAAAAAACTGAAAAGCCATTAATAAGGTAAAAAGCTTTGGTATGGATTTTGTCTAGGCGAGATGAGGTAGAAGGAGAAGGATAAAATAGAAGGTCCTCCCCAGATATGGGAGCAGTACCGTATATATTTGGGGGCGAATCTGGAATTTAGAAAGAAGTGATGGGAGGTTGATTATGATTTGTGAGCACGGAAGTGTAGCCAAACGTATGGCTACACTTTATCACATTATGGATGTGATAAAGCGATGTACTTAAGATTTAAGAAGGGCTCTTCGGGAAGAAGTTTTAATAGGAGCCATTATGAGAGATAGGAATGGAGGGCTAGATAGAGCCTACTTGCCACGGTCATCCAGAGTAGAAGAAGCGCAGATAACAGGGTAGAAAAAAATCCAACTTTGGAAGTACTTCTAACACCCAGTACCGGATTAAGCATCGTCTGGCCTCAAGGCACATTTTGGAAATGGCCCAAAATCTCTAACAGTAGAATGTCTCCGAGTTTTCTGGCCTAATAATACCAGAAAATAGAGTGTAAATAATATTGCAGTCCAACTTTTGATGGCCCATCATTTTCACCTGGCCCACAAGGCTTGTGCCTTATTTGCCTAATGGTTAATCCGGCACTGCTAATACCTTACCACTACGATTTTAATTACGAAGATTATCATCATGATCATTATCATAAATTGTACCATCATCTTCATTATCATCATCAACATAATCAACAAAGTAATTATAATCTTCTACTTTTTCTTACTCAAATATTACGATTTACTATTTTTCTTTCTATTACTGAAGTTTTTCATTATGGACTGTAAGTTGATTTTCGTCTTTGTGTTTCTCGGAACGTTTTCTGCGATCCTCGCAGGTAAGATATATCCGATTATCCCGCTTTGAAACTCTCTGTATTTAATTTTTTTTTTTTTTTTTTTTTGCTTCCACATATAAAAATACAATATAATATGATATATAAAATTATGAACATCGGATTTCCGGTTTATTATATCAAATTTGCATGTATATCAAAGATTGACATCATTTACTTTAAAAATTGCTTAACATTAAAAATTATTTGCAAATAAATAAGAATAAAAACACACCAAATCTATACAAATCACCATTAGCTTCATATCAGATTAAAGGAAATATTGTTTTAAAGGTTGGCATGGCGAAGTAAAAATATTTAAAATGCTTGCGGTACTAAGTAGATAGTTTTGAAAAGAAGTGTTATTTGTTGAGAATGTCTCTACGTTTCGTTCGATCGACAGATATTATTCGACAGATATTGTTCCTTTGATGACGATTGAAGCAACTCAATCGAAAAGTCGAAACATTCTGTCTTACCCTCTATTGTACGTGAACGTCGCGAATAGTTTAAAAAAAAACCCCCAAAATTACCACTAAAAGAAGATAGATTACATGGTTTTGAAAGCAGTTTCTTATCATTTTTTATAACATAAGCATATTAAAAAACACTAAAATGAGATGAAACAGCAGTAGTGTTAATTGGTGTAATGGAATAGGTTATCCTGTATTAATTGAAAGTTGCCCTTTCGGCGTTCCATATAAAACCACCACGTAATAATACGGAAAAGCGTATAGTTGAATTTTGCTCTTTTGGTGTTCCATAAATACCACGCAAACGTAATGCTGAAATACATATTTAAGTTTGCTCCGTAAGCGACATG